GGATGCCTGTTGGAGTGGTGTGGATTTGGGAGCCCTGTTACTGCTCTACAGACTCACAGAGAAAATTAAACCAACAATGAGAGGGGAGAGCTACAACCTGAAACTGGACACAGCCGAAGCAAATGAACCTAACTGTATTTCAAACAAAAAGCACATCTATATATAAAAGCCTAAGCAACCGATCAGCCAAACAACCAGCTGACCGGTGGTTAGGACCTGCCCTGACCACCAGGGGACAGGTGCTCAACGCACAGGATCAGGCTCCCTCCTGTCTGGATCAGGCCTGTGGGGATCAGGCTGAAACCAGCTATCCAACATTCTCTGAGGGGTCCTGGATTGGAGGAGGGTGCAGGCCAGGCTGAGAACCTCACCGGTGCACGAATCCATGCACCGGGCCTCTAGTAACCACAAAAAAGACAAAAAGCCCCAACCAGGAGGCTCAGTTGGTTAGAGCATCATCCCGTACACCAAAAAGGTTTCGGGTTCGATCCCTGGTTGGGGTGCATATGAGAGGCAACTGATCGATGTATTTCTCTCTCTCTCTCCCTTCCTCTGTCAAAATCAATAGAAACATATTCCTGGGTGAGGATAAAGGGGTGGGGGAGGGGGAGGAAATGGTCTTGTTTTTAGGAAATTCACACTGAACCTCTCAGAGACACCGTGCCTGCTGTGTGCCCGCAAGTAGTTCAGCCAATATAGAAATAAGCTATTTTCAGCCGAGATAATAATTACACCGAGTAAATGCGGCAAATGGCGGGTCTTGGTGAAGGAGATGTAGTTCTTTGTCCGATTCTTGCAGGAAAGGGAGGGTGGAGGGAGGGTTCTTCAAAGGACTTCAAAGGCTATTGAGAAACCCAGGGGATGGAAATGGCTGGGCTGGTGGCTCCCTGGTTGCCCTGGGTGGTAAGAGTCAAAATGACATCTCTGCCTTCTCGTTAAAGGCGTCCGGGAGCACTTTCCGGGTCTCCATTCCCTCTGAACGAAAGTAAACCTATGGCCGAAACCGGCTTGGCTCAGTGGATAGAGCGTCGACATACGGACTGAAGGGTCCCAGGTTCGATTCCGGTCAAGGGCATGTACCTGGGTTGCGGGCACCTCCCCAGTAGGAGATGTGCAGGAGGCAGCTGATCGATGTTTCTAACTCTCTATCTCTCTCCCTTCCTCTCTGTAAAAAATCA